GCTTTGGGGCTGCAGTCTACATTGATTAAAAATAGATGTTTGCTGAGAAAAAGAATAAAAGTTACTGTGGGCACGTGTACATGTGCAATTAATGTGAAGCAATAAACTCGGAGCTTATTGCCCCAGGCATGTCATTTGAATGTGCGCCTGGGATCACAGCTTGTTGAGCCAGGTCAGGGCAGCCCCGGCTGGCAGGGGGCCCTGGGGAGTCAGCCTACCAGTGCAGAGCTGCTCTCCCCCAGCTCAGAATGTGAAGGGTGTTCCAGTTCAGGGCTAGCCGGCAGACAGCCCCTGCACGAAAGCACCCTTGTGCCCCATCCAGCTGCGGCAGCATCTACACGTACAATGCTGTGGAGTTAAAAGCAAGTACAAGAAATACAAGTACTATCCTGCTGCGGAGTTAATTAGCTTACTCCTGCCTAATAGGGGCGCACATATAGACGCACAGTGTTTACTGCAGAACTTATTAGTCTACTCTGCAGTAAACGTCTTTTGTAGACACACCCTGTTTTATCTTTAGCACAGGTTGTTCCAGATTAGAGAAGGGAATCCTTGGTAGGACTAGATGATCTCTTGAGGTACCTTCCAGCCTTACTAATCTATGAATTTCTTTATGAATAACAAATATTTTGCCAACTTTGGGTTTGTGTCATAGATTGCTTCAGTTTTTTATGTTTTTAGTCCTGCTCTTGATAGACCTTGATGTACAGTAACACATTTCTATTAGGAAAGTGAAATGTGATTGTGTATAACAGCGCTGCTTTTTTATGAGGTTCTTTGATTTTTAGAAACAAATCTGAACAGTCCAGTTTTTTGCACTTTAAGTCACTTAAACTTTTTTATCCTAGTATAATCGCAGCATGCAAATGCTAAGTTTTAATCACAGGTTTTCTAAGAAAAAGTGCTATATACTACGCTAAAATTAAGTTTTTAAAGCTGCTTCTTGATATACTGAATGAGCCATTATTAACAATATAACTTCTATCTACCTATAAAACTTGATTTGATTATAATTGTTTTTTACGGTTCAGTAAATGTGAATAATCTTTTTTATAGACAGGTTTTTAAATGACAAGTCCCTCCGCTGAAGATTTTAAAATCAGATAGGATGCTTTTTGTTTTTATTTTGCACTTCATGAGAAGTTGCAGTTGAAGACATTTCCTAGTCACAATTCAGATGACTTCTGACACACAAAGCTGGTTAAAATCAGTAAAATAACATAGTTTTGCAACAACTAAACTGTTCTTTTCCATGTGTTTGAACTTCAGGAAGTTTACATGCTTCAGAATTGGCAGAATGCCTCCCAAATAGGAAGGTTTTCCCCACACGAAAATACAATGTGCATTTGCAAGTATGTATCTGTACCTCTGACTTTTAAAAATGAGGCACAAATGTTATGTATAAAATAACAGTAGAAGTGCATGTTAGGGAAAATAGTGGAAGTGCTATCACTGACATTTTAAAGCTCAACTGGATCAATGAGAATATACAGATATAAGCATCAATGGACTCTGACAGACATGGGGGGATAAAACCAAAACAGTGCTTTACCAGAAGAGGCATTGTGTCAATTTGACCCAGCTCGCCCAATGTCTGTATAGGTCACATGTTTTGGTGTGGCTTTTTGGTGCTTTTATCTAATAGCTGATTAAATCAGCTATTAGATAAACTGCCAAAAAGCCCCAATGAAGTGTGCAAGCTATACAGACGCTGGGGAGCCAAGCCAAACTGTCATGATGCCTCTTCTATGCATTGCTATGCATGGTGTGAGGGCCTGCTGAGCTGAAAGTAAGGTACTGTTTTGGTTGGGGGAGGGGGGGGTTGTTTTGTTTTTTCCCCCATGTCTGTAAGCAGGCGTTGTCTCAGGCTGGCCTGAAGGTTTGGTTTCTCTTCTAATTTCTTTTATTAGAATTTTTGACCCTTTTTATTTAATGACAATTTCTCTGGTCATTTTTAGGCAATCAGAAGTTTTCAGGTGGCCTTGCACATCTATCCAATGAATCCTGAAGTGTGGAAAGAGGACCTTTCCTGGGCCAGAAAGCTCCGTGAGCAACAGAAGAAAGCAGCAAACCCTGAAGCAACACAAGCAATGGCAAAAGAAAAGTCTGCTACACAAGAATCTATCCCAGACTATGACTTTGAAAGTGATGAGATTGTGGCGGTTTGTGCTGCCATAGCTGAGAAGGAAAAACCCATGTCCGAAACTAAAACAGTGGTCATCGTGTCTGCTTCAGGCACAGTGGAGACTATAACTGAAGAAGAGAAATGCGCTACAACTCTTGATGATAGCACTTTTATCAAAGCCCGATAGTGTAGCATAACCTTTTGCCAGTATTGCTTTGAAATGTAATGTTATTTATCAAGCGTTTGAATGTCTTTTTAGCAGCAGAGCAAACTTGCAAAAGAGAAAAGACAGGAGGTGCTAAAGCAGTTTTTTCAGAGAGAAAGTGTTTTTATGTAGATATGAAAAAAGCAACAGATAAGCAAAGATCCAATTTCTCATTCCCTCCATACTTCTGGAGAAGGAAGCTAGTTGTTGATATTAAAACTCTTTTTTTTTTTTTGTGAAGATTACATTAAAATAATTTGAAACTACTAACTACATTATATCAACTCTGAGTTTATCCAACTTTGTTGCATAATTGTTCTGTATAAATGATGTCTGTTTTTTTTTACCTGTGCTTATTTATCTGTTACTTAAAAAGAAACCACAAAGGGAAATTTAATGAAAATGTTACTTCTCAATCCTTAATTATTGACATTAATTAGCAGCCAGTTCAGTGATGAATTTTATTTGGCGAAGTCTTTATTTTCATTAGTGTAGGGATTTCATTAAAAAGCTACAGATGATTGTGGATAGTCTTTGTTAACCCTGAGATTTCATTTCAAGTCCTTTGGGGTCAAGGGAATGTTTCATATTGTGTTTCAAGGGGCTTGAAGCCAGTGTGTATCATATGAGTTGTGCTAAACCACACTATGTTCAGACACTTTTAAACGTTAACCTAAATCTACTGAAGAAAGGATGCACAAATAGAAATGAAATTCACCTTCTGTTGACTCGTCCATTAGTACTGATACTTGACTTTTGCGTTATATACAGCACAGTAAAATATTGGGAGCACAATGAGGAAAGTATTAGGAATGCGACACTGAGATGAATTCTGAGATTCTTTACTTTTAATCTTTCTTAATGCGAGACTAAGACTTTTTCTGTTGAGTTTTTGATGCTATTAGGGGTGCACCGATAAAGGTTTTTTTTGGCTGATACCGATGGCCAGTTATTAGCCAGCCATATCAGTCAATTACCACTCTGGTTGCCAATATGCAGCCCGGCAGCTTGGAAAGTATCATCCAGCCAGTAAGTCTGTGTGGGGAAGGGGTATGGGGGAGGGAAGGGACATGGGGTGGCGAGGGGGAGCATATTGAGGCCCCCATGGTGAAGGAGAGAGCGGGCCAGGGGCAGGCAGGGGTGGGGTGGGACACAGGGTAGAGCTGTGGGCGATTTGTCTGGGGACAGCTCCCGGCTGCTGTGCACATCCCTATGGGAGGCATGTGCCCCCTGGACTTGTGCATGGGCTTCCTGCTGCGGGCTTGGGGCCAGGGGCTACACCAGCCTCTTTCCAGTGGGGTGCTGAGCTGCATCTGTACTCGGGGCAGACAGGGGACAGGGTGGGCAGCACTGGGAGGGTAGCTATGAGGTGGACTATGGCCACCCCAAAATTTGCCATAGGGCCCCCATAGCACCCTTCCTAGTGCTGCCGCTGGCCACCTCACCACCGCCTGCCCTGAGTGCAGCCCTGGTCCAGCCCTCCCACTGGGAAGAGGCCAGCAGGGCCTCTGGCCCCACGCCCACAGCTAGGAGCCCACACTCGCCCCATACACAAATCCAAGTGGCACATGCCCCCCATGCTTCTCCTAGGAGTGTGCACAGGAGTGAAGGATGCACCCTCCCCCAGACAAGCCACCCATAGTTCATTCCTGCCTCAGCCTGCCCCAACTGGGCAAAACCTGCCCCCGCCCCAGCCCCGCTTCCTCCTGCACTGCAGGGGCTCTTATCTCCAACCCCTCCCCTCTCCCCCCACAGACTTACTGGCCGGATGCTGCTCACCAAACTGCCAGGCTGCATTTCTGCCTGTCCACGTGCATCGGTGACATTATTGGCCAAAAAAAGCCGATTGCTGATAATGTCAATTTTCCTTTTATCAGTCCCAATATGATGTGGACCAATAAACAGATGCACCTCTAAATCAAGGGTGGACAAAATATGGCCTGCGGGCCGGATTCAGTCCGCAAGGCCATTCTATCCGGCCTCCGGGGCCCCTAAAAAATATAGAAAATTAATATTTATCAGCCATTGGTTCCTGTCAAAAATGACAGGAATCAACGGCAGTAGGACCCATGGGAAGCCCCGGCGGGCTCCCACGACAGCAAGGCCCGCCCGGCCCCGCCCCCCCCAACCCCAGCCAGGGCTTCTGGCCTGCGACCACATGGCTGCCCTGGTGCCGGAACCACAGGTAAGGGGGGAAGGGAAGGTGAGGACCCTGGGCACGGAAGGAGCCCGGGGAAAAGCAGCCCCGTGCCCACTCCCTGCCCAACACCCCACATTGCAGCCACTCGCAGCCTGCCTGGGGCTGCCTGTGTCTGCTCTGGACAGCCTTGCGCAGGCTGTGAGCGGCTTCAGCATGGGGTGTCGGGCACGGGGGGGGGGGGGGGGGGGGGGCCCCCCCCCCCCCCCCATTCTCAGCTTTTCTCTGGGCTCCTTCCTTGCTCCTCCTTGGTGCAGAGTTAAGCAGCCCCTCCCCACCCCGGTGGTCACGCCGCTGCCCCCCCCCCCCCCCCCCCCCCAAGCACCAGCTTGTAACCCAGCCCCACTGCCAGCCTGGGCCCCAGGCCGGCACCAGGCAGTGTTTGCCACCACCGCCTCTGGGCTGCCCAACGCACAAGCTCTGGGCAGACAGCAGCAGCAAACACTGCTTGGCACGGCAAGCAGTGGGGCCGCTGGCACAGCCCCAACGGGTGAGTCCGGAGCCGGCATGGAGCCCAGGCTGGCAGCGGGGGCAGGTTACAAGCTACTGCTGAGCGTGGAGGGGAAAAAGTGGCCCCTTGCTCACCCTGTGGCCGGTGACCCGCGCTGCAGTCCCTTGCAGCCTGCATGGGGCTGCCTGTGCCTGCTCCAGACAGCTGCACCTGCAGCAGGGAGCGCTAGCCATGGGGTGGGCAAGGGGCTGCTTTTCCCCATGCTCAGCTGCAGCCCAGCCCAGCTCCACAGACCCCTGCCAGCCTGTGCCCCGCTTTGGGCCACACTGGTTTTGACCCTGGGACATTGGTCCCAAGACATTTGGACATTGGTCCCAAGATGGTGACCAGGGGGCAGGGCACCTGTCAAGGGGCGGGGCTACCCATGCGGCCCTCGACAACTTGCCAAGACTGGGTAAGTGGCCCTCTGCCTGAAATAATTGCCTGCCCCTGCTCTAAATGATATGCCCTTGGACCCAAAAAAGATGATTGTTTTGTAGTTAGTAGGGTGTTATTCAGGATAGAATTGAGTGGACCTATCTCTTGATTTCTAGTTGAGATTGTTGTCCCCCCCCTTTAGGCACTGCTCAAAATTCTGGCCCTACTGAAGTTGGTGACAAAGCTTCCATTCACTTCAATGTAACCGAAGCTGACTTGGATATCTGTATTGTATACAGTTGCAGTCAGGTGGCTAATTGTCCAACTAGAGGCTACTTTTAGGAACTTGGTCTACCACACAGTTCCCAAAGAATCCAGTACAGTTATCATACTGACCTTGTATTAAAATACAGCTTTGTAGAGCAAACTTAAAAAAAAAATAATCTGATTTAGAGCCAGATAAAGTTTTTCAAAGCTCACTGTCATATTTGTCATTTTATATTTTTGTTTGTATTTTTAAATGTGTACTTTTAAAAGCATTTTGCGGTAGCTAACATACGATGGAAAGATTCATTGACTCAGTTTATGGGTGAGCCCCATTAGTGCCTCAGAAGATATTTTATAATCTGTACAAAAACTAGTAGTCTCTCCACTTCTTTCAAAGATAATAGCAAATGCTGTTATTGGGTGTCTGTCTTTACTAAATTTTCATTATTTTTTAGATGATAAACTGCTTCATTTTTTTTATTTTTTAAATATTGGAAGTAATTATAATGAAACTGAGTTCCTGCGATAAATTTTAAAAATACATCTCATCCTGCAAAAATCAAAAGGCTTCATTTTCATGCACTCATTAATTCAGAATTGTTATTAATTCACAATGTACCTCCTGCTTATTGGGAAGGTTCTAATGTATAGAGTAGTCCAGGAGTGGGGAGTACAATCTTTCCCTTCTCTAATTGGAAAATGGATAAATCTATTTATTTGTAATTTGAAAAATAAATCTTCTCCAGGCCTCATCTTTCATAGCACATGTTTCTGCTCAGGCAACATTTTGGTAGCCACCTTCTGAACCTCTCAGATTTTATAATAGAACTACTAGCATATCTGCTTTAACTGAAAGCTTGTTCTGGGAGTAAGCTTTTAAAATCTTACTGATAAATCAATGATAGACATTTTGGTGTGGCAGAGCCCTAAAATGTTCCAGTTTACCAAAAAGAAAACTATTTTTATTTAAAATGATAATAAAACGACGTATAGACAGTCATGCTGCATGAAAAGAATTTTCCTGTTATCTCTGAGCCCTAAGAAGATCACTTTACACAAGGGTAAATTTAGGCAGGTCTCTTCCAGCTACAGGGAAGTGCTCCGACTTGAAGATATATCCAAGAAGCTGTCATACTGCATTGGGGAAGTATGTTTGCTATGTCTCATTTAGATGGAGTTA